GCTGCCATTTAAGAAATGTTCTTTACTGGAATGGGCAAGTCAGAACCACACAAGGCATAGTCTGCCCTTGCTAATAGTTTTTAAATTAAACTTTTTAAATTTATGATATAAAAACAATGTATTAGACTTACTGCTTATTTTTTTGATACACAGAGAATATAAATAGCAAAAAACACCTTTTAAAAATTCTTTCTAAGTTTTCTGCATCACAGTAGATTGCTCTACTCAAACCCATATCGCAAATTTCTTGATTATGTTGCTTCCAGTATTTGCAACAAAATGTGTTTCAGCGTCTCTCTAACTCTCATACACTAGAAAGCAGAAATCAATGCTAAAAAGGAAATATTCAATTTCATTCTTTACTACTGCATAAATGGACTTTTGTATTTTCCTAAAACATATTTCTCAATGACTAATACTTTATCCCAGAATTAGTATTTTCCTCCAGAATATTTTGTTATTTATACATTTAATATTTTATTCTTGATTTTTTCCTTAGGTTAGGAAATTTTAGAAATGCTGATTAGTTTACTACAGGATTTCTTGCTTTGTTTTCTGATGCTAACTTTAATATTTTTGAGTGAAGAAGTAGAGACAGGTAGAAATTTGTTAAACTGTATTAAAGCACAACATATTTTAATGTAGACTATTAACGTAAATACATGGGTAAAATAATTCTTTGAGTAGCTTAGATTTTTTTCTAAAAGCAATTTATAAAATCACTTCAAGGCATTAAACAAAACAAAGCTTCCTTAGATGTTATATAAAATGATACTTGCACAATGGTTTCCATACCTACGGGATTTGATACTTTGATTCCAAAGCATTATTTTTGGCTATGGTATGTTAATAAAGTGCTTTGTAATCGAAAACAAACACACAAACAAAAAAATATAATTCTTAACTCATAAGCTAATATCCAACAAGACACAGCTATTCCTGAAAAATTAAGATGCCTATCACTTAATAAAAAAAAATGAATTGAGTATTTAACCATAGAATATTATATTTTGTCCACCAGTTAACCCAGTGTCTTTATTTTACAGGTGTTGAGTGACTTTCTCCAACTTATATAACTAGTTTGTGGCAGAGGTAGAATAAGACCCCTAGGTTTAATTCATTTTTGCTTCTTACTATTTCATTCTTGAACTATTTAACACAGAATTATGAAAAAAAATTTAATTTTAATTACCTATTGAAAAAGAGAACCTTATATTAGATATTAACCTACAACGAAGGAAGTGATTACAATGCTATATACTAATATTCATCTAAGATAGCAAAGCAATGGCATTTACCTTAAATTTACGTCTCTGCTCTGCACAGCTGTTGAAGAACCACAAGTCTGTCTCATGGCTGTAAATGTAACAAGAACAATAATGCGACCAATTTTCATACCTAAACTAAATTAAGTAGATTTGTCATAGGCTAGAAAATTGATAATGTATTTTACAAAAAAAAATTTTAATTACAGATTATGGAAGTGTGCATGTGTGCATATTTGTATGTATGTGAGTATGAATTTACTCTTTTAAAATCTTGAAATTAGCTTCATGAAATTGAAAGCATTACCTATTCTCTTTGGCTTACCTTCCTCATTATGGACCACTATAAGTATATCAAGTCTAGGAAGTGCTAGGAGTAGATACAGATAAATGAAGCAAGTTAAGATGAGAGGCCATCTTCAGCTGTTATTATTAACTTATGTTTTTCTGGGATACATAGTAAGAATGTAAAGAAGAAACATCTGGTAATTCTTAGGTTAATATCAGCTCCCATTTGCATCACAACCTTTATATATTATTCATTAATATGTCGTTAATCAATGTACCTACTGATTGGACCCATTCAATTGGTGTTTCACGTAATGAATAGAACATGTAAACATGTTTCAAATACATGTATTCAGATATCTATACATAAAAATGAAATCACTACTACAATCATTACTCAAGCTTGTCAGATGCGATTTTTTTCTTTCCATTTTGCATTAGATATGCTAAATCTATGCCATCTGTAGCGTAAAAACCTGAAAAAATGTAAATGAAACAGTAATAGTACATAAATACTAGTCTGCTAGAAATAGACTCTCTACCATGTCACACTTCAAATCTGGCCACCACTTTTCAACATTTAAAAGAAATTCAGTTGAGTCTAACAAGCAACCAAATATTGTTCTTGTAACTTGAGCCATCAAAACAGATTTTTTTTAAAATCTGTACTTTCTTTCAAACTTTATAAAATAGTTCTCCACCAAAACTATATTTTAAAATGAAAACCACATAGTATCTCTTTTGGTCATCTAAAAATTTTATGCCTGATAAAGTATAAGCCACGATTATCTATTATTAATACCAAATACCTTGCTTTGCAAGTGCAGATTTTGAAACATTTTCAATTATCTTTTTTTAATTCTCAAAGATAATCTACACCAACTCTGCTGTGAATGATTGGTTAAACTCTAAGTAGAAAAACACTTACATTATGAGAGAATCATAAAAGTTTTAAAGTGTTAATTTCATATTAAGTGGTTAAAAATTTTAACAAAAATATTCTACTCTTTTCTTTAACATAAGTGGTAAATAGTGCAACTCAGGTTAAATAGTATTTGCAGATGCAAGGATAAGCATTACCTAGCATCCCCCTTTGACAGCATGTGTAAGCTAGTATAAAATGCTATTAGGTTTTTATTAGATTTTTAATACAATCCCAGCATGTTTCCAGTTGCTAAGCTTATCAAGTACTATGAAATACTAAAAAGGTAGACTCACATTATATTAATTGCAGTATATATTTTGGTGAACAAATAAGTTTTCATTCATTATTTCTAAATTCTCATTCATAAAAACTGATTTTTCATTCCTATGACATTTTGGCATGAGATCTCATTAAAATTACAAAATAATAATAAAATGCTACAGTTTTATAATCTGTACAGTGGAGATATATTAATATTTACATGAATCACAAAACACTAAATATAAGTGACAGTGAAAGCCTTGATAGTCATGGTTAGCAACTGAAATTGTTGAACAGTATTTATAATACTTTTAATCACCCTTTCATAATAAAATAACAAAATTGAGGACTTCTTAAAATTTAATTTATACAACATTTGGTACATGAGCAACAATGTCTTATTTTAGAGTCATTAATATTCCCACATTATATGTGTGTGTGTGTGTGTGTGTGTTTTCCAAGAAAAATTATGTATTTTTTAGTTAAATAAAGTATCCAATTTTGCCTTCCAATACAACAAAAAAAGAAAGTAGAAAAACTAAAGCCCAGCCATTCTTCCCAGAGATACCCTGGTAACCAGAAATAAAGAAACTTCTACTGGACTTAGCCCTGGGGAGGAGGGAACCGCTACTTCGTCTGTTTTGTCAAGACACATGATAAAATAGGATTAGGACAATACACAGTGTTTTTCAGATATTCAAAACAACAAACTCTTTCCTACCTTTGGCTTATGCTGACAGCATCTAAACCGCCTTTGCCTTACCAACAAGAAAGCAAAATTCCCAGTCTGAAGCCATAGTGAGGATAAACATTTCATGTGCTATCTTCTGTGACTTCTATGTAAATTTTTCTCTGTCATGTAAATGTATGGAGAGGCTTTCATGGAATCAGATAACTGGATGGAAATACTCCAATTACTGTTACTACTTGGGGAGGGATATGATGGGGAGGAAAGTGTGTCACTATACAATTACTGTTTAGTTGAAACAAAAGAATGTGAAATTTACTTTAAAAGAGAAAAAAATTAAAATGAATCTTAAACTCAGGCTGATTTAATCTAACTTTCATTTGCAATCATGGCAGACATCTGTACTTTGGACTGTTGAAACACATCTCCTATCCCAAAACCTCCCTTCTTCCCACCCACTCCCCACAAATGGGTTTGCTCCCAAGAAAATATAGTCTCATCTCAGATTTGTTTAGGGACCATAAATTTAATCCAGTTTTCAGGTAACAAGTAGTTTCTGGATTGTGTAGATCATTAGTCTATAATTCTCTGTCATACAAACTAAGCTTCAGTACGCCATCATGTAAGTAAGACTTAGTCACTAACCCCTGGGAGTACACCTGAAAAATGAAAACAGACAGCTAGGCCATAAAAAAAAAAAAAAAAAAAAAAAAAAAAAAGATTTTTTTGTTGAAATAAAGCAACAAGAAAGATGTTTACTTTTTTTTTTTTAAACTAAGCTTGCCTAATTAGACATGTATATAACACATGATTCAAAAAAAAAAGCATTGGCTATGTTTCAGCAGAGCTGACAAACATTTTGAAAGATGTTCCATGCAACTCCAGATTCTAACTTCCAAAGATTTTTAAAATACACCCTAACAATGTTTCTTCCCCCCAGTGTCCTATATATTTTGGTTAAGACTATATAAAACAATGGTTATACTATGTAACAAAAAGTTACTTTAAAAGACATACATACTATTGGTTTCACAGGACAAACATAGTGAGTAAGGACAACAAACTCCAGAATGTGTTTTTATAACTGTAGCAACAGCAATAACTCCTTGGCAAACTCAAACAGTTTTTTTGGCACCCTTGGAGCTTTTCTGCATTTGTCACTTGGATACAACTGCGGAAGGGTTGTCTACGACTGCTTTGTTTCCTTCCCTACCATTTTACTATGACTTTGCTTTTAAGGGAGAAATTTCACATTTTAACCTGTTTGTGAATAAAATTCCATTAAAATCCTACAAGGGAGTGCTATACAAAACTTTTTCTGCCTATGTATACCAAACGTGGTTCCTACATAATTTTTGCAATACGTGACCTTGTAAACTTTTGAAATCTATGCTAATAGAAAACCATTTTTTTCTCTTTCAAGAAGATAAAAATGAGTTCTCTTTTTGAACTAAAATTACCTACGTATGCAAACGTAATAATTTTCTGTGTGTATACAACTGGTTCTGCACATCTGTTATCATTATGAACACCTTTTAAAATGAGACCCTAAGGACAGGAGTGCTTTACTAACCTGCAGTGGTCTCTGCTTATCACTGCTCTTAGGAGATTTCAATCCACTTGTTTGCTGCTGTAAGAGAAGTTGTCTTGCTGCCTGGAGAGCCTAGAAGTAAAAAGGAAGCAATATCTAAATATTTTTGAAAGGTAAATTGATTATCAGTTATTCCTTGGTTAACAGTAATAGGCTTCAATGTATGAGAACCGCCCCCCCATCCTCCTTTCTAGAGAGAATCGTTAAATATTCTTTCTCTTTTAGTGTGAAAAAAAAAAATCACATAACACACGTATATAACTTTACTTAAAATCACGGAGGTGCATGTAATCCTGCAGCAAATAAAGTTAATTTGTATAAAGTGCTTAAAGAGGAAAAATCATAAACTGCATCAATAATCTCATTTCCACAAGGAACTTGTCTTTGAGTGTTCAACTAAAATGCCCACTCCCTTTTAAATTACCATTCAATTTGCATTTTCATATTACAATTTTGAAGCAAAAGCAGTAGACTTCAAGTGTTACCGGAAGCTGTAATTAAATTTGACAAATCAACATCAGATTATCTTGAAAGTGAATTAATAAGATTTTCACTAAAGATTAAAAACACTTTTTTTGTACTTACATTCAAGGGGAAACCTCTCCTTTGACAAAATAAAGTGCAGTTTTAATGCCAAATAAAATTGAGTGGTTTTCATTTGCATTCTTAGCAAAATCAGAGAACAAAGAAATTACCACTCAACCAATCAGGTTTCTTTCTATGTGTGACAGAATACCAATCAAAATAGAAGATGTTTTCATTTATTTTTATGTTTTCTTTCCTACGAAGGAAAATAAAACTTAACGTAAGAAATTAATGTAAGCATTTCATTTACCAGAGGAGGGACAGTTTGGTGAGTGTACTATATAAACTTATCACATAAAACTAGTGTCATAAAAAGATACATATTGAGATGATTTAAAGGTAGTATAAACTGATTAGGAAAAAAACTTTTTAAGAGCCTCTACTTTACAAACTCATTTTTTCTCTCAGCAACTGAGTTCAAGGAACAGTAATGAGGAAATTTTTCAAAACATAAAACTAAAATAAATCATTACTTTGTTATTCACTGTTTTAGAATACAAGGTAAATTTTTCATGATGAGAAAAATATCTCAGATCAATATTCTTCTATAATTAAGATTCTATGATGATAAAAAGTACAATTTTGATTGGAATCAATGATCTGGTTTTTAAGAGAGTTTCTAGTATCCATGACAACAGTTGCTTTGACAAGATGTGCATATGGCATTACACTGCCAGCTGGTGTGAACAATGTTTGAACTACTGCATTGAGATGCTGAGCAAACAGAAAAAGTTGCCACGTCTTAACCCTCAGGGAAGGCAGTCATCCCCTGATCAATTATGAAAAGACAGAGAGAGGGCTGCTACAGTCTGGCTCCAAGCAAGTTTTCTGAGAAGGCAGGCAGACATAGAAACCAAAGTAAACAACTGAATGCACTAGAACCATCTCCTAACAACACTGATTTGTCTTCCCATAGCAGGAGCTGGCACAGTTTGTAAAGCACACTTTTCACATTTGGAGACACACTCACTCACACCAATCTTCCTTCCGTTTTTAAAATTTTTCAAGTAATAACAAGTCAACCTAAATGTTTCTTAGGATGGCACATTCCAGTGAATTCAGACAATTTTATTACAAAGTTCAGTTTGAAAAAAAGACCAAATTAAAAAATTCCATAAATACTTTAATCACAAAACTCAGTGTGAAAAGTTTCACTTGATATACTAAATAATATAATTTTCTTTTTTTAACTGCAACTTATAAAATAACTACAAGTGATATTTTTCTAATAGAAATTACTATAGTATCCCTTAGGCTGTGTCTATGTGAAACTCTCAAAATAAAAAAAAGAAAATCAGTCAACTATTTTCCCCTTTGCCAAAATCCACATAAAGTTTGCCTAATATTTTTCATATAATTGTTTTTTTCCCTTTGAGTTCATTGGTTTATTACATATATATACAGCCTTATTTAGTTTATATTTAATTCTGTAGTCATTTATTCTTCTTAAAGGATTCTAATGAACACAGTTCAGAATCTTGGAATCATAAATGACTAGGACTAAAAGCAATCTTAGAAATCATCCAGGCTGACCCCTTCATTTTAGCAAATGAGAAAAATGAGGCCTAGAGTAGTCAAGTGCTTTGTTCAAGGTCTCCCAGCTTCCAGGCCAGAGAACATTCCAGTGTGCCATACTGTCTCTGTTCCATCAAAGGAACCATTAGTTGGCAATGAGTAAAACTCCAGTAAAGGAGAACATACGGCACCGTAATGAATTATTTTTCACCTGTAAAGAGAACGTATCCATTTATCAGAACTTAAAAGGGAAACTACAATTTAATATTTTTATGTTTTGAATTTGTAAGTGTTAGAACAGAACATCTATCACAGAATACACATGGTTTTTATGGCTAAGTGTTCCCACCATCCTTGACCTGGATTTCATCATATACTCTACCAATGCCTGATGGAGCTCTAAACTCTTGTAACACTCTGATCATTCGACTGGTTACTACTAATAAACTGAAGAACTCTAGAGCTGGACAAAACCTTAGAAATTGTTTAGCCTAGCTTTCACATTTTGTAGACAAGTAACTTGATTAAAATCACAAAGCAAGTAGCAGAGTCTGGTCAAAAGCTCAGGCTCTTGTCTCTCAAGCCTAAAACCCTATCAATTTCACCACCCTGCATTATATTCACTCAACTCAACCCAAACAAGTAACCCAATGGAATACATAATACCCAATGGCTACAGAGAGACACTAGAAAATCAGATACATTAGAACTACAGCTCATGAAAATATCACTAGACAACAGTATACATAACACTGTTTTTAAAGGACTAATAACAATAATGGAATACCACCAGATAGCTGGCTAAAACATGCTTCTACTTTTAAAGTACCTTGGTTTTCATGTGCATTTACAGTTGACCTTAAAACAGTTGAAGAGCATCTTTCAATACAAACTCTTATGAAAAAGAACTACTTGCCTGTTTTAACATTCTTTTAGTATCAGTAGAGATTACTATAGTAAACATAAGAGGCGGGAGAACAAAAAACAATTCCAAGAGATAGATCAGGAATGATTTAAAATTCATAAGCAGAAATCTTTGGCAGTTTTCATTCTAACTGCAGGCATCACATGACATTTTTATTTTCAGTATTCTGGATTACATTTTAGGACTGAATTTCAATAAACAATTGCTCAGAGACATTTAGTTCATCTTTGCAATTTATTATTGTAACTACTCAAAAGATGAAAGATTATGAGATAAAATACTTCCATCAATATAAAGTGTGAGGTGTCAAATTACATAAAATAATAATTTGAAAAGCACTTGTCCACTTCGATTGGTAAATAGAAAAGATAAATTCCCAAGCCATTCATAAAGTTCTATGAGCCATTTCGATATTTATATGATCACTCTCTGCAAAAGAAATTAATTTAGAACAAAAGGCAAAAGATGTTTACAAAATTTCCTTTAATAATGACTGAGTCTCAGTCAAATGAACAACAAAAAAGAGGTCTCTAAGGCAGCCAAACCATATCTAGTTTCCAAAAACACATTTGTTTTGAATTAAGGGTGCACTTTACTTAATGAAGTTATCTAATTTTAGTAAAGCTAAAGAAAATTAAGATAGGACATTTTAAAAATTGGAATCAGATTAAATTAAAATGTTTTGAAAAGATGAATAAAAATCTTTATCACAGATTAAAGATACACTTTTTGTTAGGCTGCAGAGGTGTGGGAATGCACATGTTTTCCAGAATTCAGTGCATTTTGCTCTAAAATATTTATTGAAAACATCATTCCTAATAGTTACTGTGTAATTTCACATAAACTAAAATTTTGTAAGAAAAACAAAGTTCAAGCATATCACCCTTCTGCAGCAGTAATAACTTTATGCTAGTTATGAACCTCATGGACAAAGAGTAATTGTAATGAGTAGGTCATTAAGAGAATTAAGAGTGAAAAAGCTTTGTAATCTGTCAGATCAATACTTTTTTTCTTCTTGAAGAGCATTGAAAACTTTCACTAGAAGTAAAATTGTTTGAGAATAGCTTAGCAATACCCAGCGAAACAAAAAATGTTGAGTACTCTAAGGTTTATAAATAACTTTTTTTTCCCAAAGTAAATATATGTATATTTTGGGAAAAAACAGACATCACTCATATCTCTCCCCATAAAAATAGGAACGCTTAACCTATCAGCCTGTTGCATTTGAGACATTAAAATGAAAAATGACATCTACGCCCGTTAATATCTTCAATGTATACACAGCACAGCATGACACATTCTTGAGAGCTGAAGGCTGCAAAATCTCTCTGAAACATAAATAACAAAGCACTCAGAAGCATATTTGATGTTGATATTCATCTCTGAGAAAAACACTGCTGCCTAGGCTTCTTATGAAAATAGATGCAGCCCAAATGCATCTCCCGTAATTGGCTTCAGATAGCGAGGTCAGAAGAAATATGATACAAGAAACGATTATGTGGAACAGGCGAAACAAGAATGTTTACACAGGCACTCCCTAGTTATACTGACAAGGGGTGTATACTTTGCAGATAACCAGAACCAAAAAAAAAATTTGCTCGCAGGACATCCAGAATTTTGCTCCTCATACTCACACTTTTTAACCTTTAACATACGATGTCTTTAACATGTAACTTTGAATACTGAACATAAAATAAGTTTTCAAACAGAATTTCATTTTCTAATTATTTTCACAAATGTGGTTGATAAAAAGTATATTTGGATCTTTCCACAAAGGGTATGAATTCCTATTCCGTTTAGCCTTTCCGCGCATTATATTCACACTAAAGAGAATATACTGATAAATGTAATCTGAAGTCTCATAATGCTATTTAATAGAAGAAAATTAATCACCTAATTGTCATAACCTATTTTCAAACAGCAATCTATCAGAGTGAAATTATGCATCTGTAGCTATTGACCTTTCATTTTATCATGCCTGATACATAATTAGACTAAGTTTGTTGGGGGAAAAAAAGCTAATTACTAGAAAATATTTTTAAAAATA